TCAATCTGTCTGTCTGTCAAGGCTGTTGTCATCCATGAAGGATTGCTTTCTGAACAAGCTATCATGATTCTTCGAAACCCTACCAGCTCCTTCCTGCCCCTGCCCCTTCCTGCCCTTTCTGTGCTCTCTCCTTTTGCTTTCTTCTGTAAGACAAGCTGGTCCCACTTTCTCCCCCAGAGCCTCACTCCCATCCTTTCATGTGTCTTCTGTTAATTCCGGTCTTTGATGAGATGTTTTCTTCTTAGACTGTAAAATACTGCTCTATTTCTTCATAGTTGTAATGGCTACTTAATGTCTTATTTTCTGTTTAACTTATTGATCCCTCATTGGAAGGCAAGCTTGACACACCAGGAGGTGTGCCTATTTTGTTCAATGTTATATGACTAGCTATTAGATCCATAGTAGACTCTGAGTATCCGACCTTGTGGCCCCATGCCGACACTGTTCATCAAGGTCCTACTTCCAGTGAGTTTTCAAGGAACTTAACTAGAGAAAGAGTCTGTCTTCTGAGAAAAATCACCATGCCACCCACCTGTTACTGTGGTAAAATGTTTCCCCCTGTCACAAATGCACTCAGTGATGCAGGGGAAGGAGAGTATACATCACAGCCTAGAATTTCCGCCAGAAGTTTAGTGATTCAACATGAGGAAACCTGTAAATACACCATACTGCTTCGATAGTTTAAATGAAGGAAGTCCTCATGGTTTCAGTGTGAGCTAAAACTTCCATGAAATGCTTCATTTATTCATGGTAAGCCTATTTTGAAAAATCAAATTTACTCTTTCCCTAAAACACAGCCTTTTAAAGTTAAGAGAATGATATAGGCAAAATCTTCTCACAAGCAGGAGCAAATTTTCTGTGATCAGCTGTTCATGCTGTCTTTTGAATATCCTCTATATCTGTCCCAGACCTTTACCCTGACCTAATGTTTCTTCAGACCTGCGACGCCCCTCACCTGGATTGTAATATAAAACACACTTTATTATTCTTACAACCACCAAGGCCATCTTTCTAAAATATAAGTCAGCTATTTCCTGTACACCTCTGAAACAGCTCCCAAGACGTTTTATGTCAAAAGATCAAAACAGGAGCTGTAGAAAGGGCTCAACCCTTAATGGCACTTACTGCTCTTGCAGAAGACCAGAGTTTGATTCTTAGCAGCCAAATTGGTGTCTCACAACAACCTGTAACTCCATCTCCTGTTGTGTTCTTCTGACTCTACAGGCACCTGTACTCACATGCACACACACACACATACAGAGAGAGAGGGGAAAAGAGAAAGAGAAAGAGAGAGAGGGGAAAAGTGAGGGAAGGAGGGAGGGAGGAAGAAGAGGGAGGGAGGGAGGGAGGGAGGGAGGGAGGGAGGGAGGGAGGAAGAGGACATGGGAGCTTTGGAGAGGGAGAGAAGGAGAGGTAGAGGGATGAAAATTTTTGGAAAAAGTACATATTTTTCATTCTAACTTCTATGCCCTCACAACTCCCTCAAAGTTTGCTTGCAAGCTAAACACTGTGAAAAAGGTATAAAGATAAAAGAAAGGTATTTTATCGATTCTCAGGTTATTTTTGGAACTACATGAAACAGAGCTTGATCATCTTTCCCCACCCCACTCCCAATAAAACCCTCCATAATAGGAGTAAGGTAAAAGTTGTTGAGAACCATGATTTTGCATAAATCTTTCTATGGAAAATAATGATTCAATCTGGGCAAGACATAATGAGCAAAATTTACAGGCTGTGGAAACTACACCAAAGTAAACTAGATTAGTCTTGAAAACTACAATTAGAAGGGAACAGGAACCTTCTATGAATCCCAGGTGACACACACGCATGCACGCACACACGCATGCACACATACATGCACACATGAACACACACATACACAAATACACACACACTACTTTTCTTGGCTCACATCACAGCCAAACTGCTGAAAATCAAAGATAAAGGATGGAAACTAGCCAGAGAAAAGAGACACGTTATATACCCGAGGGAAACTAGCCAGAGAAAAGGGACACGTTATATACCCGGGGGACACTAGCCAGAGAAAAGGGACACGTTATATACCCGGGGGACACTAGCCAGAGAAAAGGGACACGTTATATACCCGGGGGAAACTAGCCAGAGAAAAGGGAAACGTTATATACCCGAGGGACACTAGCCAGAGAAAAGGGACACGTTATATACCCGAGGGACACTGTAGGCAGACACGGCCTACAATGGGGAATCCCACACCAGGACGTCAGTCTGGGACCTGACCACTCATGAGAACTGAAGGAAATCCAGATGACTGTGGAATGACACATGTACAGCATGTGGCTTGTGGTTTCAGATGATAGACAATAGTTAAGGCATGACCATGGTTGCCTAGGGGACATGGAGTGTAGGCAGGGGACACTGGAGGTGCCCTGTATATGACAATTAGCTCTCTGGCTGAAGCACATGGTTTTTCTTTCCTCATGGTCACTAAGTCAGATCATACATTGGAATGACACGAGGAAACCTAAACCCAGAGCCAAAACCTTCCTGCAGGTGTTAGGTAGGATGTGACCTGTGGCAAGGAAAATGAGAGATCTAGAAAAGTGGTGGGTTCTATGAACTATGAAGCAGTTACTTTTATAATTATCTAAGTAGATACTCTGTGTATCTTTTTTTTTTTTATATTTATTTATTTATTTATTATGTATACAATATTCTGTCTGTGCATATGCCTGAAGGCCAGAAGGGGGCGCCAGACCTCTTTACAGATGGTTTTGAGCCACCATGTGGTTGCTGGGAATTGAACTCAGGACCTTTGGAAGAGCAGGCAATGCTCTTAACCACTGAGCCATCTCTCCAGCCCCTCTGTGTATCTTTTTATACATAGGGCAGAGATGAGAGGGAAAAAGAGAAAACAAAGCCAGCTCCATCTTTGAGCATTATAATATATTTAATATTATAATATATTGGAACATTTAGTATGTTACCTTCCCTAAAGAGAGCCTCATGGAACCACAGAGTTTAGGCACAGGAAGTAAAAGAAGTGGAGGAAGGAGAATTTGGGGATTTTATTGCCAACTAGACCATTTCAGTTGAGAGAGCAACTCGAGTACAGGGGAGACTGCAAAGGGCATTGTGGAGTTGAGAATAGGTGGGAAGGCGATAACTGGGTCAAACTGTGACAGCTGAAGTTACCAACTAAACTCAAGGGTCCAAATAGACCTCTGCTGCTGAGTTCAGCTATGGCCTTCAGTGGCCTTAGCTTTAGGCTGTTGGCTAAGTCCTCCTGCCCCAGTTGAAAATGGATGCTGCTTGTCCACCTACCTCTTCCCAAATACCTGGCAGCTGCTTTCCAAATTACCCACACAGAGCCTTATATGAATTATAAATGTTAAGCCAATAGCTTAGGCTTATTACTAATTTGCTCTTACAATTGAAGTTAACCCATATTCCTTATTTACACATGGCAGTACCTTTATTAGCATAGCACATTCATCGCCTGTTCCCTCTTTTTCTGACTGGTGACTCCTGACTCTGTCCTTCTCCTTTCCATCATCCTTAGTTTGCTTGTTCACCTATACTTCCTGCCTGGCTAATGGTCAGCCTGGCTACCGACCAATCAACATTTTATTACATCAATTTAATTGGCAAATCTTTATAGTGTACAAGAGGATCATTCCACAGCAGTCAGGATTAGCACTCAGCCCAAGAAAACAAACTGGGGGCCATGGGCAGCATTTGAAATAACAAATATTGGTTGAGAAACCAAAGGGCATTGCATTGACACTGAGATTGTGGAACACCATTCAGAACAGTTACATTCAAGTGGAGGCTTAAATGATGACAGAAAAATGAAAGAGAGAAAGTCAGAACAAGATGCTTGCTCCAGAGACCTGGAAATGCCTTGGCATTGTGGTGTGTGGACCAGAAAGGAAGCTACCCAATGCCAGGAATTCATTGTCTTGGTTTAGCTAACAGAAGTCATTTCTGAAGATTAGTAAGGCCATGGGATGGACAGAGTTTCTGGACTGGAAAAGGTCAGGGAGCAGATTCAGAGCCACAGACAATTGGCTGAGGAACTGCCACACCTTAGGTAACTGTTGGGTGGCTTTCTATGAGAATGCCTTAGTGATGCTCTTTTATTTTGGCTTTCAAAAATGATTTTACTTTTAATTGCACTGTATGTGCACGTGCACATGTGAGTGCAGGCACCTATAGGAGTACATGTGCAGGCACCTATAGGAGTCATAAGTGAGCAGTGAATATCCTGGAGCTGGAGTCACAGGGAGTTATGAGCCACCAACTTGGGTGCTAAGAATCAAACTAGAGCCGGGCGGTGGTGGCTCACGCCTTTAATCCCAGCACTTGGGAGGCAGAGGCAGGCGAATCTTTGTGAGTTCGAGGCCAGCCTGGTCTACAAGAGCTAGTTCCAGGACCGGAACCAAAACAGCTATGGAGAAACCCTGTCTCCGAAAATAAAAAAAAAATAAAAAAAAGAAAAGAATCAAACTAGAGTCCTCTACAAAAACAACATGGGTGCATGCATACCCACACCCACAACATAACACATATAGAGGTCAGAGGAGAGCTCCTCTTCTACTATGTGGATTCCAGGATCAAACTTGGGCTATCAGGCTTCTTCACAAAACCTCCCCTCACTCAGAGAAGATGTTTTGTCGCTCGTAGTTAGAATGCAAACTGTGTCATGGTACTGATGCCACATGAAGGTTGGCATTTTAGACATCTGTCACTAAGGAACACACTCAGTAGAATGAGGGCTAGAGAAGGTAGTGTAAGATATTCACTCCGCAGCTTCCAGGAATGCCTATCAGCACACAATCTAAACAACCTTTCTCTCCTTGCCTCCCCCTGAAAACCCATAATAAACATACTCCTAAGCATAGATCTGTGATCTTTTACACACGTGGTAAACTTGAACACTATACACTATAGGAAGAAAGACATTCCATTTGAGCTAAACTAAAGACTAGTGTTTGTTTGTTTGTTCTTTTCCTTTGTGGAAGGAAAAAGGAGTGAACTATATGAAGAAAATCCTCGATTCTCCAAGCCCCGAGACACTACACTTAAAATTCGCTGCTGCTTACAACCTTGGAAGAGCTTATTTTGAAGGGAGAGGTGTGAAACGATCGGATGATGAAGCAGAGAGGTAATGGTCTCTGGAAGTAAAACTGTGGGCTTCAAAAGGCTGCAACAAAGAATAACTCCCCTTGTTTTCTGTCTCAGACTCTGGCTGTTTGCTGCAGACAATGGAAACCCCAAAGCCAGTGTGAAGGCACAAAGTATTCTGGGACTGTATTATTCAATGAAAGAGCCCAAACAGTTAGAAAAGGTAACTTTCTCGTCCCATCTTAAAAAATGTGTTTATTTTGGTACTGGCAAACCCCAGCCTTGCTAGCGCTCAAATACTGACCTGTATCCCAATCCTCTTCCTTTGAACACTAGCGATATAGCATCTAGATTCATAATCGCTTCGCTGGTTCTTTCCAGAGAAGACACTGTGAAGTAAGTATGTAGACTTGGATATCGCTTACATTTCCTGAACAATGTAGGGGCAGCTCATACTTTGGGACCCCATCTTTGACTTTCCATCACCACAACAACTTAGTGCTCATCTGTGGAGGCCCAAAAATGTGAGCCTAGTTTCACCTTGTCTGAGAGTTTCAGCTTGCTCAAAGTTGTTGACAAGCATGGCTACACACCCCGACCAGGGTGTGGTTGCTCGGTGTTTTTGACGTTAAGATGGTCCTAAAGGTAGATCCACTCCACCCTAACTAAAGGGTAGAGAATTCAAGTATACTTCCGCTCCTTCTTGTGAATTAAGAGGTTTGACCCAGTGAGTGGCTACCTTAAGGATACTTTGTCTAGGGTGGGTTCACTGCCTAAACAACAGAATGCTTTTCTCGTGAATTAATGGCTTGATGGCTCAAAGTATTAAAGCAGGTAACTGTTCTGGTTGTCCTTTGTATCAGTTAAAGCAGTCTTTTGCCTTCCTCTCCCCTCCCCTTGTATTGAATTATAAAAGTATATGGAAAATTAAATGTTGGAATTTTTCAGTATTCACTGGAACTCCCTCCTGGTACTGTCCTGTGTTTCTCTTTTATTATTTTCACTCTCGTTTTCTTCCTCCTCACTCACTTTTCCACCCTCCAAACCCCTACTCTGGTACATGGCGGTATACTTGTTGAAACTGGTCTCCGACACTCACCTCATTGCAGCCAAGAAGCAGACATCCTCCTGGCCCTGATGTTATTGGCTGGTGTCAGGTTCAGCCCCCTTAATCTCCTTTGGAAACCCCTCACATGGAAATCCAAAACTGTGCTTCACTGCATCGGGATTTCTTACCCACCCCAACTGACAGTCAAGATTAACCATCAAAAATCTGAGAGCTCGGCTCCACCCTTTCCAGCATGTACAGCTGCTGCCGTCCCTGCTTCTACCCAAGGAGATTATGGGTACGAAAATCTGGCGTCTGCTAAAAAAGGTTAAACTAACAAAGCACAGCACTGCAAAAAGTAAAAGAAAAGGCACACTCCTGAAATAATGGCCGGAACCTTTGAAGCCTGAGTAAAGAGATGCTTCCTCCGATTTGAGAAAGCACAAAATGACACTGGCGAGAACACATACCAGGAATTAAGTTATAGCCACTGGATTTCTGTGACAGTAATCTCATGACAATAATTGGAAGGAAATCCTACAATGAGAAGGAAATGGAGGGCTACTGGTCAGTGCAGGGTTAAGGGCAAATTCCTAAGAGGCAGATAACAGCCAGGGATGTTCTGCTGACCCTCAGCATCTACTCCTAATGTCTTTACATCAGATTCAGAGCGGTAGGTCATGTGATAGTTAATCTGGCTGTAGAATCAGGGAGGAGTGAAGCCTCTGGGCTTATGTGTGTGTGTGGGACTATCTAGCTTAGGGTGTGGTGGGAAGACCTGTTTTTAATGTGGGTGGCACTATCTTTCCCCTAGGTTCTCAGGTCACACAAGAAACAAAAAGGCCGGGCCAGTGAGATGGCTCACAGTTATGTATTCTTGTCACCAAGCCTGATGGCCTGAGATTGAGCCTCAGAACCCACATGAGAAAGGAGAGAACTGACTGTCACAGATTACATGCACACACACAATAAATGAATACATGTCAAAAGATAAAAACATGAGCACTCTTTTGCCACGAACAATGCTGGCCTGTGACACTCACTTCAGCACTTCCAAGCGCGTGGGTTCCACACCCATGTAAATACAGCCAAGGGCAACTGTACAGCTAGTTCCTGGAGACCTGTCACCTAACCACGCCTCTAGAACTTTTTCTTTCTAGAACCCCCCCCCCCGTCATCTCACCCTGCAGATAACAAAATGAAATTGTGATTTCTCAGGCATTTTTCTGGCATTCGGAAGCTTGTGGCAATGGGAATCTGGAGTCCCAGGGTGCACTTGGTCTCATGTACTTTTACGGTCAGGGAATCCACCAGAACACGGAGGCCGCCCTGCAGTGCTTACGGGAAGCAGCGGAACGAGGGAATGTCTACGCCCAGGGGACTCTCGTGGAGTACTATTACAAGATGAAGTTTTTTACCAAGTGTGTTGCGTTTTCCAAAAGGCGAGTGTCTTGGTTTGTTTTGCGTTGCTATGCCACCACCACAGATGGTTTATAATGAAGAGACATTGTTTCTCACATTTCTGGAGCCCACAAGTCTGAGATCAAAGTTTTGAGAAGTTCAGTTGGCTGATGAGGCCTGCATTTCTCCAGAGGTGGGGTGTCGTGTCCTCATATTCAGGGTGTCAAAGGGCAACCCCCCCCCAAAAAAAAAGGCTGTGTGTAGCCTTCTATAGCTGGGCCTTAGTCTCATGAATGAGGCAGGCCCTTGTGACCTAAACACCTCTGAATTTTGTGACAGTGGAAATACATGAATGTTTCAGGGGACACATTCAAGCCACAATAACACTTGAGTAGTAAGTAGAGGGGTTTCCAAGTACTTGATGTTATTCCAGATCTGTCCAACAAAACTTTTTTCAGGGTTGAAATGACAAGTGCTCAATGACCTTAAATACCCTCCTGCCACTGCGGCCTGAAAATTTAAACCAGTTAAGATTCAAGTGAATAGCCAGTGTGGCTACTTCTGCCCATACTGAAAAGGGCAATTCTATGCCATTCACCTTCAGGATTTCAGAGCCATCAGCTGAAGTGAGTTTCCCACGATAAACTGACACATTGGAAATGCCTAGGAAGAAATCTTCATCTCTTCCTATACTCCTCAGTCCCGTACTTCCATTACTGTGTAGTTGAAATAAAGCTTCACGACCGAGGTATTGTTCGGCTTACACTGCCTCTTAGGAATTCTTTGGAAACTCTTCTGAATCCATAAGGCTCCATTCTATTGCCTACATATATTTATCCATGCTGTACAAACGTGGAGACGAACCCAGACAAACAGTCCATGGTGCTCTAGAGTGCCCACCAGACTGTGGGTGAGCTGTCCATAGTCCCAGACATGTTCCCATCCCCCCCACCCCACGGAGGACCAGACATGGAAAGTTTCTCCCTTCCCCTCCCGGACATCTTAGCTTCCGGGCAGCAGGCCATTGAAGGAACCACCTCTGGTATTCCCAGCCAGTGCCCATCGTAAGATTTTGAACAGTTCTTAAAACCTGCATTACATTGATTCCTTTGTTGTGTGTGCATGCGCACACGCCATGGCATCCATCTGACGGCCAGAGAGCAACACGGTTGGACCCTTCCACTATGTGGGTCTTGAGGGTTAATTTAAACTCAGTTCTTCAGGCTTGGCATAAGTGCCTTTGTCTGCTGAGCAGATCTTAAAAATTTGTAGAACTTTGCAATACCCCTAACATTGTAGCCAACATGAAGCTGACCAGATGTCCTTCTCACACAGCTCCACGTATTTGTGTATAGTTTGCAAAGGCTGGCTTCTTTCCTACTGAACATTTTTTTTCAAGAAAAATCTGCAAATCTATTACAGTGTTAAGGTGGGCCTGTGTGATGACTGTAAGGCTCATGTTTCCTTGTATGAACCAAGGGTGCCATGTTTTACAGCAGCTTGGACCTGGGAGGAAAGGACAGACACGAGTTAAATAAAATACAGTTGGGGGAGGGATGTGGTTCTGCTTCCTCCTCAACCTGGAACCTCAGTGTTTTGTGCTGGCTGAAGGTCTTGGAGGGAACAGTCTCCAGCTGCAAACATCTGGGAGGAGGAAACCGCAGCTGCTAGTCTTTGCACACACTTCAGTCGCTTTGCCATATCTTTCCAGCCTGGCCCAGTGGGTAACAGTTTTACCAATTGTCCCATGGGCCCGAGTCCTTGGAGTTTCTAGCATGGCTGTGCCCATGTCAAAATACACATTCCCTCATGACTTCACTCAGTTGGGGCTTCCTCTGCTCCCTGCACAAGGGAATACAGGGTTTTTTTTTTTATCCCCTACTCAATTTATCCACAAGATAATGATATTCTTAAAATATTAATGAGCACAAAATTTCTTTGATGGCTGATCCCTACGAGTGTCCCCACCAGGAAGCTATGGTCTAAGTTTGTCCCTGCCTACTATTAGCACATTGTATTGCATAACTTCACCCCACAGCAAATTTCTCAAAAGGGTAGTAGCAACATTTTGAGCAGAGAATTCCCACAGATGGATCTGTGAAAACATAAACCATGACTGATATCCTCTTCAATCTTTCACGCCCCTTCAGGATAGCGGACTACGATGAGGTTCATGACATCCCCATGATAGCGCACGTCACGGACTGTCTCCCAGAGTTTATCAGCAAAGGTATGGCCATGGCCTCTTTCTACTACGCACGGTGTCTCCAGCTTGGCTTGGGCATCACGAAAGATGAAGCATCTGCCAGGCACTATTACTCTAAGGTAAGTTTGGGGATGATCTAGAAACTGACCTAACTGGAAACCATTGCCTTTTCACTGTGCAGAAAACCTGTCTATGGTTAGTCTGCTGGTTATTAAGCTCAGATGATAAAAGTCCCATTTTGATGTAAACTAGTCTCCTTAAATTTGCTGCCACCTGTACCTTTAGGGCCTAAATGTTTGTGCCTTCAGCAAAATCAAAACCAAAACCAAAAAACGATTAAACCTACACCTCCATTCCAGTATTGTAATTAAATGTGCATCTTAAAGCAGCGCACCCAGGAGAAAGTTTCATGGCTATAAGGTCATCAGGAATCAGTAACCCTCTCTCCTTCCTCTCCCATTTGAATCCATGTGTCACTTTCAGATCTGAGATTTCGGTGGGGCTGGGGAAGGGGGATGTTGCAGTGAATTTTTTAAAAACTGTGTGTGCTTTATGCTCCTATGTCCATGACATTCTTGAGCACACATTAGAATGGCGTCATAATTAACTCTGTATGTGGTTCTGTGGTCAGAAGTCTTGCCATGTTCCAGGCTGACCTGGAACTCACGGCAATCCTGCCACTGTGGGCCCCGAAGACTCTGGAATGAGAGGCTAGTACCAGGCCTTATTTTGGAAGAAGTAATTCATAGTCTCTGGGAGTGGGATCCCACCATACCTGCCAAAGCTCAGCTACTGTGTTGGAAACAGCTTTCCAAAGTAACAAACACTATGGATGTCTGAGGTTTTCACCACCACACCTTTCTTTCCATGTGAGAAATGAGTGTGAGCAAAGGAACTTTTCTAAAAATATAAACCTTTTTGCACCATTCTAATCTCCAAACCAATGCAATTTCATGTTCTAGATCTGGGGGAACATCTAGTTTAAAGGACCCAGTATTTGGTATAAACACTCTACAAGGGCAGTAAACAATCAGCAATATGAGAATGGTTTTCTACCTGCTGGGGATGAGAACCCCATTGCTGTGCACCAGCCTAGACGTAGACACAGTATCAGTGAGCCCACTGGATACTATGGGAGGTGCTGACGAAGAGGCAGCAAGCTAGTGACGCCATATGAGGTTTATGTTTCATCGAGAGCCAAACATGGCAGCATCCTGACAGTGGTGGTCACTGAACTGAGAGTGTCCTGCACAAAGGAACTGTGGCGGGGAGGGAGGGGACTTGGAGCTACACCAAAGGAAGGCAGTAAGATGGCAGAAGCCCAGACATCAGTCCAGGGACACTTGTCTGGTGGCAGCTCACTCTTAGAGACATGGCCCCTTGGGTATCTCTAAGCAATGCACATTCTCACAGATCCCACAATGTTTCTAAAGTATGTGGAGAGAAATTTCAGCTCAGTGCAAGGAAGAATCTTTTGACTTCACTGTCTCAGAACAGAGTTTTTTTCTTGGAAGATAAATTCTGGCCGAGAGTAAGAAGCTAAGCAAATAGTGTAAGACCAACGTCCCCGGCACTGAAGAGACAATTGCTGCTCCAAATGGTGCCATGTAGCAGATAATCTCTGATGTTCCTGCCAAACACTTGACCTTCTAGAATCACACACCCTATCACGATGTAGGCATAATAAGACTGTGTGTTTTAAAATTGAATTATTATAGATTCTGTTGTTCACATATATAACAGCTTGAGACCAAAAGTGATTTCTATTTCTCTTGTTTTAATAATTCTTTAGTTTTAATTTTATAATTGTGTGTCTGTCTGTCTGTCTGTGTGTGTGTGTGTGTATTTTTAAAGCGAGTACTAAGCAGTGAGAGTTTGTCAGATACCCGACTTTCTTCTCTCTCCACTTTGAAGGCTTGCCGTCTGAACCCTGCGCTGGCAGATGAGCTTCACTGCCTGCTTATTCGCCAAAGGATTTAGACCACAATGCGTTTCAACAGAGACCGTCCATCCTAACCGGAAACAGCGTGCACATGCTCACAGCAGCTATGGCTGTTGTTTTCTACACCCCCGTTCTATTATCCGGGGTATTTTACAGAAACGTCTCCTTCATTCTTCTGGAATTTGTACAAACCAAACTTTAGACACCATTCGAATTACTGGAAAGAGTCCTCAGAGGGCCACCTCTTAGCCTAGAGTGGCCCGGACCGCCCTGCGTTTGAAATAATGCCAAGATCAAGTGCCCCCTTGCCTTATTAAACAGTGTCTGGAAAGACTTAGTAAGATTGAGTTTTGTGCTTTCCAAAGTACACGTGCTGCCGACTTAGTTAAAAACGTAATTTAAAAGCTTAATTATTTACATTTTCTTTGGCATTTGTTTAATTTTATGAATTTTGATAATTTAAAAATGTTATTGAGTCATCTGAAACTTTTCACAAAACTAAATGAAGGCCAAAAACAATTTAAAGATTAGACTTCCAAACCCTTTTTGTAGAAAGTGTATAGTGTTTTATAACTTATTAAAAGATTCTTACAGATAACTGGCTAAGTTGTAAATTTTAAAAAAAAAATGGATTTAAGAAATTACTTAGCATCATGTCCCTCCAAATGTTCCCTCAAAGATCTTAATTAAATGAGCAAAAACCATCATGATCCCTGATAAATATAATTACAGCAATATGCTTTTCTTTGTATTCATTTTCTACATTTATTTTAAATCTTAGAAACACTTCTATACAAGATAAAATATGGAAAAAAATCATAAAAATCATTAACCAAAGGACTACATCTAAATACCGTTTTGTAATCCAGCCTGAGAATGCTATATGAATTATGCTTTTGGTTAGCACACAAAGACGTGGATTCCATAAATGTGTTGCTATACTTTGTTCTCATTCCTTTTCCCCTACTGCCCTCCCTCCCTAGAGTCCCCACAGCTAACTCTTCCTTCTCCAGTTAATCTCGTGTGTGTGTGTGTGTGTGTGTGTGTGTGTGAGAGAGAGAGAGAGAGAGAGAGAGAGAGAGAGAGAGAGAGAGAGACAGAGAAAGAGAGAGAGAGAGAAACAGACAGACCAGGTTTACGTAACAGCCTTGTCTGGCCTTCGTAGACTAGGCTGGCCTCGAACTCTCAAAGATCCTCCTGCTTCTGCTTCCCAAGAGCTGGGATTAAAGGCATGCGCCACCACCACCTGGCCCCTCTCCTTATCACATATTTTCTATGACTTATTTCCCACCTCTCTTACGATCCCTTCCTCTCCCTGTTGATTCTCTATTTTCATGGGCTATAAACACACACACAGAAATACAAACATTGCTCTACACACACACACATACACACACACACACACACACGCACACGCGCAGACGGCAGACACACACAGACTTTCAGATCTCAGTTCCACATGAGAAAAAACCGTTTGCTCTTCAGAGTCTTATTTCGTTTTACATAACGACTTCCAGTTCCATCTGTTTTCCTGACAAAGTATTTCATTTTTCATTACGGCTGCATCAAATCCTGTTGCAATTGTTTCACATTTTCTCTGTCCATTCATCTGTTAATGGACATCTAAGCGGGCTGCACTTCCTCACCACTGGGGATGGTGGACACTTATCTTGGTAGGGTGCTGACCCACATCCCTTAGGAACACACCCAGGAGTGGTATAGCTGGGCAATGTGGTAGTTCTTTTAGCCCATCTACTTGGTTGGGCGATTCTGATTTTTAGTGTTTAATTTCTGCAGTTTTTTTTACATATCATAGATATTAAGGATACTATTAGTTGGTAATTATTTCCCATTTTGTAGACTGTCTTCACTCTAACAACTGTCTCCCTCAGTGTGCAGAAATTCCTAAATACTTAGGAAATAAATTAGCCCACTTTTTCCATATATTGGTGGTCTAAATATTGTGTCAAAATTAAATTAGGCTAGGTGGTGATTGGGAGGCAGAGGCAGGAGGATCTCTTTTGAGCTTGAGGTAGGCCAGGGATAAGAAGAAAGACATTTTAATTAGCAGCAGGACTGTCTTAGTGTCAGTGAAACCTACCAAAGAAAACATCACAGTGAAAACCAAGGTCCACCTACTTTAGATTGTGTAGTGATGTGCCACGCACCGCACCCCCATGTCTGCGCTCTGTGCGCTGGCACCCAGTTCGTGAGCTTTGGGCAAGGGGGCTGGAGGTTAAAATACAGACACACACAGACAGAGAGACAGCGACATGGGGTCATCCTTGAATTCCCCAAGAATGCCCCCTTTATTGTGTTCAGGGGCAGATTATACAGAGATAGCCACGCCCCAGCCAAACCCACCAGAAAACACTTTCCTGCCATCAGGAACTCCTGAAGGTCTTGTGCTCAGAGCAGCTGTAGGCACTCAGATGGGGGGGGGGGGGGGACAAGCTGTTTACAAGAAATTCAGGATCTGGGGTCTCACTGCTCCCAACTGTGATATGTTTGTGAAATTGTATTAAAAACAATATGTCTTAAAGATACCTTAATGCCTGCCTTTTGGCAGTATATTAGCTGGTATGACTTTTAGAAATTTCAATGTCATTTTCTTTTGAAAACTTAAAATTTATTTTATGTGTATGGGTGTTCTGCCTACTTGTATGTCTGTACACCACACACACACACACACACACACACACACACACACACACACACACGAGACTGGTGCCAGGGGAAGTCAGAAGAGGGTGACAGATCCCCTAGAGCTGGAGGTATGGATGGTTGTAACCCCATGTGGGTGCTAGGAATCGAACTGGGGTCCTCTGGAAGTTCAGCTGCTGCTCTTAACCACTGAGCCACACAATGTCATCTACAATGGCGGATAAATAAAAACAAATCTGTTAGTGGTGAGAAAATGGAATTTCTATGTGATAGCATCTGCTAGAGCGTCTGTAGAATGAAAAGCCTGGCCTTGGTTCTATACTCAAGTACATGAACTGAACTTTGTTTTTATATAAAGAGAAGAAATAGTTATTCACTCCTGCATTCTATACGAAGGTTACAGACTTTAACCAACCCTGGAAACGAGGCCTTCCCCTCTGCGATCATTTCATCGTGTCATTCATCTATGTCCTGGCAATGCTTGAGCATGCACGGGCAGCCCGTTTATGGCGGTTTTCCAATTGTCCCTATCCTGGGCAGTCCTAGATGCTTGTGTTACTGTCATACCCAAGGTACCACAGACTTCCTTTATCTTGTCTGTCTAATGTTTGGGGGGCCTTCCTCTTCGCCCTATCCCATGCACAAGGACATAGCGGCTTTGTCATAGCCAGAACCTGGAAACAACCTAAATGCCCCTCGACCGAAGAATGGATAAGGAAAATGTGTTACATTTACACAATGGAGTACTACACAGCAGAAAAGAATAATGACATCTTGAAATTTGCAGGCAAATGGATGAAGCTAGAAAACATCGTATTGAGTGAAGTAACCCAGACCCAGAAAGACAATTATCATATGTACTCACTCATACGTGGTTTTTAAACATAAAGCAAAAAAAAAAAAAAAACAGCCTACAATTCACAATCCCAGAGAACCTTGACAACAATAAAGATCCTAAGAGACATACAAAGATCTAATTGACATGGGAAGTAGAAAAAGACAAGTTCTCCTCAGTAAATTGGGAGCTTGGGGACCATGGGAGAGGGAAAAGGAAGAGAGGAGAGCAGAGAAAAATGTATAGCTCAATAAAATCAATTAAAAAAAAGAAATTAAAAAATAGCCAACCTCAGTTTTGTCTGAAGTCTCAAATACCATTTTAGTCGGAACCAAGGGGCTGGGGAGCTGTAACTACAAGACAATGAGACTTGTGCTGTTTAATCATCCATCTTTCAGACCCGTGTCTCATCAAGAACTTGTTCGTTACGAGCCATTAGTACGATAAACCTATATGACTTGAATATATTTTTCTTTTGTTCAGATTGCAGCTTTGCCCTGTTTTCAGTATTTCTAGAAACCAGAGGAAGGATAGTGCATAATGCTGCTACTGCCTAACACAGTGACAAAGTGACAAATAATGGAAAAGCCCAGGAACAAACACCGAGTCAGCGTCCACGGTCCCACTGACAACAAGGACACAATCCAGACCCTGGGCCTCACCCAATGCCCTGGGAGTGCACAAGATTTAGGCAACTTCCCTCTTCTGCTTCCCTGTCTTGGAGCTAATATTTCCCCAGTTCAGCTCACTTCTCATCTCCCCACAGCCTCACCAATTTGGCCTCTTTTGCGCACCACAACTCAGGCAGCGCACTTTGCACTGTCTTGCAGAAGTTCTCAGAGGGCAATGCTTTCTAAGGAAAGGCTCCCGACAAATCCACCTTAGGCGCACCAGTGTCCACGCTATTGCTCTTTCTCTGACACAAGTTCAACGCCTTCCAGCACTGTGATTCATTTTTAAATTTTATTGCTTCAAATGCTTCAAACTATGGGAAATCTTTGGTAAAAATAAAGACAATAGAATTTTCACAAACACTTTACACCGAGCATCGCGCTATTCTTCAATACACGAGAAACAGGAATGTTCAGAGTTCTCAGCAAGGAGATTAACTGTACAATATTCAGAGTTTGTCATTTAACAGCAAAACTGTTCTCATAAATATTTAAAATATTTCCTATGTTCTTATCACATATTAACATTTGTATTTCAATCAGCAAATTGAGCTTTATTTATATCATTTCAGTAAAAACCAGTAAGCATCAGTTTGCTTTTCTACTGCCTACCACAGCATCAGTCCATCTCCCTCTGATTCCGCTTCTTTCACATAAAACTAGAGGGAGGCACGAAAATAAAAGTCAGTGTGGTTCTTGTCGGGCCCTCTGTGGAAAAGAGGGAAATGTTTCATGTCTATTATTACACAGACATTTCTCTGGTGGTTGGTTTGTGCGATCTCAGACTTGACCAGCTTTGAATTGATCCAAGTGTGTTCGCAGCTCGGGACACAGCTCGGCCAGCAGCAGCTCCATCAGTACCTGTCCCGCGGAGGAAAAGCAGAGAAGGGGCTGGGTGAGGGTTTACTCATAATCTGTGCTCTAAGATTATTCTCAGTAAACGAGGGGCTCTCAAAAGAGTTCAGACAACAGAAACTCCA